AAAAATGAAGAATAGATTACGAAGCCGACAGCTTATCCCATTCAAGAGGTTAATTTCAATACTTTCCATCGAACTTAAGTCACAGTGGTTGAGACAGACAAGTTTGGAGAATCGTGAACATCACCGATCCTAAATAATCTTTAGTCAGAAATGGTGAGAAGACATTTTTACATGAGAGCCAAATCTCTTATGAGAAGAGCTAACGTGAATCTAAAATTTGCTTTAAAGGATCTGCGTAGCACTGAGATGGTAAGCGAAAACAAGATTCGCCTAATATAAAGTGTCTGTAGCGACGCAGATGCGTTGCCAATTTTGAAAATCGCCGGTTACCTCATCTAATGAAACGTTTTGTATTTCTTTAAATTAATAATACTTCAGGCACTTCACTACGGAACTTCACCAAACGCGCCTTCTCATTTATGTTATAGTAGGAACTACTTCGTGGACACATCGCAGTAATAAACAAACTTGTCTTTGCCCTAGTATTCATTTATTCAATAATTTAAGTAAGCAACCACCTAACTCTGCTTTTATTATATTAGTCAAAATAGTTTGTGTTCGTGTGATACTAATAAAAATAAGGTCGTTTTTACTAAAATGATATGTAATTATGATTATGTTGTGCTGCACGTTGCGGTGGTTAGTGGTTACTATTCTTATGATGAATCTGATTTTACGTACGGGTCTAGAAATGAGCACCTAATTATCAAAAGTAAAATTTGCCAACCGTACCATCAATTTATATGTTGCTTATATGGGGATATTGGTTAGGATGTAGAAGTAAAATATTATCACACAGATTGATACCAGGTGGTCGGGCTATGCTTATAGCCAAGTAGGTGTATTTCTAACGTTTATTATGTCCTGTGAGCAGTTCGCGTGCTAAGCTGTCATTAGGGCAAAGACGGATTGTCTCAGTACGCGAGTGTCATATGCCGTGTTAACCCACGGGGTAATCAGTGGCTAACTCGACGAAACAAAAAAACCGGTCGTTAGTCGCGCCCCGTGCTCGTTCTAACTGTATTCAAAGCTTGTTTGCAACTGTGTATATAAAGTAATGTATATAAAGACGCAACGGCGAAAAAGACGGTCAAATTATATAAATAAGCTCTTATCATTATTTTTGTAGGTTTACATTTCTGTGCGATTACTATATTTTGTATTTACTTTAGCAGAGCCACGCAGCAGTTTCTGCCATTGTACGAATGGCTCAGTTTACTTATTTAAGAAAGACTTTTTATTGGGCATAGATGGCAAAATATGAAAAATAAAAAATAGCGAAAAACGTAAAACGGCGCCTTGGAATCGAATTAATTGAAAAAAAAAAAGGCCTATATTAGAAAGTCGGAGACTAATCGAGATAAAAGCGCGTCAACAAAATACATACACAAGTATTAATGCGGTTGTGGTGCTTTAAATGATCAAATTTAGAAAATTATATGGCAACCTTAACGAAACACGTAAACAAACTATTCTTATATCAACATCAATATTCTAAAACTCCGTTTAATTAATTTCTTGTGTCATGTTCACAAGTGACAAAGGTATTATATGCGAAGAGTGGATATCCAATTAACAAACATTAGAAAATCGCACATCATTTTAAAGTGTCACGTTCTGTGCACGACTTAAAGTAAAGCTGTACACTAGCTGAACTTTAAAGCTTCTAAATAAAAAGAATTAAGCTATCTTTAAGCTGCTTAGAAACGATCACTTACGGAAGACATTCATCAGGATGCGGCGTGGGAGTGTCCGAGACTAGCGAGACTTGGCCTTCCAATGAATTTCCGTCTTGCAATTGATAGTCATTCTTAAGACGTCCCATTTGCTGAATGAACTACGTTAAGATGTCTGTATAAGCGATGTTGCAGCAAGCATCTGAACAAGGTACAGGTCCTTCCGGGGAAGTACCACGATCTCACAGAAGACCGGTGTGATGGAAGTTTTATACTTCTGCGTTTCGTCTGTTGAGTGAGGTAGCCGGGGCGCACTTTATTAAAAGGTGGCAACGCATCTGCCACCCTACGGGTGTTGGAAATATCAATGGGCGGCGGTTATCACTTAACATCAATTGAACTGTCAGCTTGTTTGCCACATTCTCACATAAAAAAAAGAAACTAGGTAATCAAGAGGAATTACATAATGATACCCTACTTCTTGATACCCTAGTGTTATTGAATAGTACAGTTTAGTCGTCAAAGATCACGGTAATATTTTTATAGCAAACAATTGAAAACCATTACACGTCTGAACTTTTTCTATCAATGCAGCCGCAAACAACCGTAGCATTTTTTGTTCGCTTCCTGTCATTATGTTTAGATAGTGTGGGTTAAAAAAAACAGGAAAGGCTTTTTTTAACTAATAAGTATAACGAGTGATAATAAAGATCAAATGGTAGTAACATCAGTAAGTATATTTACCTTGATTTGATTATTATCAAGACACCGGCAAAATTAAACAGTGTTGTCGGTTAACCTCCGATGCGGGATTAAAGTCCCACCCTCTAGGTCGCCGTTCACTGAAATCTTTATAATTGTTAGCCATAGCACTTTCTTGACGAATTGACCCGACCTGTATTTTCTAGATGCTTCCTATAAATGTGGCTGCACAGAAAGTGTGTCGACGCCCGCCCCCCAAACAATGGCACACTGGCGTAATGCACATAAGAGCCGGCTGCTACGGACTATCGGATTCATCTCCGCAACTTCCCCGCTGAAAAAGCGAGCTTAATCCAGGGCTGCTTGGAACAATGTATTGTGCGTTTAAATTTATAGGTTATGATAAGAAACGTTCTTATTGTTTATCTAATGAAAATATACCTTATTCCATTTTAACAAAAGTTAAAATATTATATTAAATATATTTCATTTAAAGTTTCTGGTTTGGATTCTCCCTCAGAAATCGGAATATTTTATATTAAGTCTGAGGATAACTCTGAAATACTGAGTGACCCATCAGACTTTTGTCAGCAGCGGACGTCATATTTATTAATGGTGTATAAATTATTATCACCACAATCCTTACTAATATTATAAACGCGGAAGTTTGTATGTATGGATGGATATTTGTTACTCTTTCATGCAAATACTACTGAATGGATTTTAACGAAACTTTACAGTAATATAGGTTATACATCAGAATAAGACATAGGCTATAATTTATGTATATATTTTTATATATCTGTCTTTCTGTCTGAATGTTACGCATTCAGCCTATTCTACGCAGCCGTAGTCGCGGGAAGCAGCTAGTACAAAATACAAATGAAACGTTACTTATTGTAACCCTAAAATGATTAATCATTTACGTTTTTTAGGATGTCAATAGATAAATAATAATGAAAATTAAATTAAACGTATATATTTTATCTAACCGTAAACTGTCTGAAAACTCGTGTTTTGGTTATTCAATGCCAAATCCAAGCCTATCATATGTATAGTTTTAATAAACCAACATTAAATTAATAATGTTATTGACTTTATTTAGTCCAAAGGGCGACATGGGCAATCATGTTCCGTTCAGCATTCTATAATCTCTTATAGTGCGATGTGTTGTTGAGTAACAATTATAATTGCATGAGTATTACGGCCTCAGCAACACAACATAATATCAATGTAGCTCAGTGCCATCTGTTGTAGGAAAGATGGAATCAATTTAGTTTTTCTTTCAATAGCGCGCTTGAATTTTCTCAGGGTTGACACGCATCCAATAAAACACAAATAAAGGTAAAATTCTATCCAAACCTATAAAGCTAAGAAAATTAAAGTGTTAACATACGTTGGTATATGTCTTGGTCATTATAGGTCGTTTCTTTTAGTTCAATAAAATTAAAGCTGTTGTTTTGATGACTCCGTGTCTAATTTGCCAAGATATTGGCTTCGGCGTCAGGGATCGTCGGTTCGATACAAACAAATAGTTGTCCCGTGTGGGAACAACAATTTGTTTTTATCTGGGTGTTTGTCCACGTGAAATTTATGTTTGTAAAACGTCCATACAACACAAGGTAATATTATCTTACAGTAAAAAATAAACAAAAGAAAAAGGGAAAAATGTTGTGAGAACACCTCTGGGTTGTTGCGAGTGCAGTGCTGGTGTACGCAGTAAAGATCTGAAACTTTGTGAAGGTTCGCAGCCAGCGAAGGCTGTCACTCGGATATCTCAGATAGCGGAGTGACAGCCCTGGCTTCGACACGGTTTCCATGACCCTGATAGCCTCGCGATATCCATCGCGCAAGAATTAATGGATCCGTGCATCTAACTAACAGATTAACGTGTAATTGTTTCTACCGATGGCGTCCGATAGTGTTTGTTTTGTAAAACGAGTTAAACGTTGCCTTCTATAATTACGGGGTTGCGGAGTCGTTGTCTTTCTTGAGACTTGGGAAGATTTCTCCAGTTGCATAAAAATTGTTTTTTGTCTTTAATTGGATGTTGCTTGCGCTTTCAGTCAGTGGGACTATGAAAGTATTGTGGATTAGAGAGCCGGTAAAACCGCTGTGGTATCTCGGTTAAATCTTTGCATGTGGTGCACATTTAACGCTGAAATTGCACACTATAAATCGCTATTATACCGAACATTACTATATAGGGTAAAGTAGTCGCTACGCCCGCGTATAAGTACAGAAGCAATTAAAACTACCTTTATTTTCTCCTGTGAAGTAAACTGTACTCATTTTTAGACAGTACAGAGAGCAGGTCCGTCCGGGTAAGTACTACGTCATCATAAAAGATCGGCGTGAAGTGGAAGTATACTGCGTTTTGTCTAACGTGTGTGGTAGCCGGGGCCCACTTCCTACGGGTGTTGCAAATGTCAATGGGTGACGGTTATCAATTAACTTTACGCGAACCGTCAGCTTGGTTGGCACGTTCTCCCATAAAAATAATGTTGACTGTCATAAGCTTAAAGCCAAAACTAGAATTTGCAACTGAACTTTCAAGGTAGTGGTATTAGGTGTTCAGAATTGGTCCTACTGTGTTGAGTACTAAACCAGAGTGAGGTATACCTGTAGAGGGTGGCGTGAAAGCGTCCGGCGGCGTCCGCGTGCTCCATGAGCTGGGCCAGTGCCCGCGCCTGCTCACTCAGCGTCAGCAGCTCCAACTCCTCGCGGCCGAGCTGGTACTGCAACTCCGCCTGCTGTATCCGCGTGTCGATGTTCCTATGTATAACAAATGTATAAAAAAAAATAAAAAAAAAGGACACCCACGGAGTTTCATTACGAAACGGCGGTAGATTTAAAATTGTCTATCAAACTGAGTTGACTGTCAAAGCACTACCACCGGTTCGGAAAAGAAAGCTACTGACCTGAGAAGAACCGGCGAAGGTAGCTCAGCGTGACATTTTTTTACTATTATTTGAACAAAGAAACATGTTTACGTATTGAAGTTTAAGTTTTTTAAAAGATCCTGGAGCAATCAATTAATTTCCAATGTGTGTTTTCATTTAAATAATCATTATTATTATAATAGCCTTTAACACCGTCCTTTACATTTTGTTATAATTTGAATAATCACTCATATTATTATAGCCTAATACGCACAAACGTTCTTTTACAGTTTAGCAATTGATACACTATGAACATTTTCCGGATTTTTTTTGTAATAACATATACATTATCCCGTAAAAGAATTATTTATTCTACGTCTAATTGTGGTTGTTGGTAACAGTGCTAGAATCCTCAAATCCGAATCAAAATCGTGCGCAACTAACTCCGTGACGTGGGTCTTTTCGAGTCGTCTCCTCAGCTCGTGTATGCTGCTCTTCCTCGCCTCCAGGTCCGCGTTGATTGCGGCCGCGCGTTCCTCCAGGGCGTGGCGCTCGTCCGCCGAGAGGGTGGTGGGGGAGTCCCCGCGCTGGCTGCCACGGGAGCCCGTAGGCGACGTGGCTTGAGCGGCCAGCCGAGCTGCACTCAACGACGCGCTCAACTGCTTCTTAAGGCTGGTTAACGACAATTCAGAAATTCTATTGTTTATCTGTGGACAGGCGGGAACAGTGACAGTCATTACGAAGAAGTCAACGTGAGAGATGTTAGGAGAAAAATTTAATAATGGTGGTTGCCCGTCGTCGAAATACGGCGAACAAGGTAAATAATAATCCGTTTACTTAATTATAATTTTTGCGCAAATATTTATTGGTAAACGGTTTCTTTCCGCCCAAAACCAACATGAGCAAGAGTGACTTGAGTTTGTGAGTTGAAATTTATTTAAATAAACGATTTATTTTAATGTTTTAAAGGCACTAAATACGAAAAGTTTTCATAACGAAAAATCTGACTGGGTTGGAAATATTACTTACAATTAGTAATTGTCTTTCATAAAATTAAGGCAAATTCTATAACAACGTGTCCGTTAACACTCACCTAGCAGTTAACACTATAGGGGTCAAAGATTGTTTCACCCCTTCTGGAGCGATGCGGTAATAACATAAAAAGAAGAACTGGGAAGTACAATGAAAGATCATATTACGACCAAACATTTAAGATCAGAATATACAACTTTAATCACTGCATGAGCTCGTGCTGCCCTTGATTAAACCCTTACGTCTGTATTAGCGTGTCCTTATCAGAGAGCGCAGCGCGCAGGGTGTCCAACTCTCTATCCGCGTCACGTGCGCCGCTGCGCCGCCGTGCTCCAGCCAGTGAAACTTCGATACTAGCCATCTGTGGAAGGGCAACTGCTCGAGAATCTTCTAGAAAACCGTATGTTATATAAGACACGATGTCAGTTCAGACGGGCACGGAACTAGGTTTCTTTCTTTCAATTACCAAGTCGTTGGCTTGAGTATTGTCTTTTGGGTTCGATTCCTATGTTTTTTATTCGAGTATTCCTCGTATTTTTGTGACTCACGGATTATTGTTGACCTCGGTTGTCTTCAGGCGGGCTGCTGGCCGTAAACATCTAGCTAACACCAATCAAAACAAGTTGATGATTCTCATCTTGTGCTTTTTTTATGTGAAAAGTTGCCAAAGGAGCAGAAGGTTCACCTGATGGTAAGTGAATACCGCCGCCCATGGACATCTGCTACACCCGAGGGTTACAGACGCGTTGACAACCGTTGAAAATTGGGCTTCGGTTACCTCACTCACCAGACGAAACGCGAAAGTATTTGTGATACTTCCACTTTACGCTGGTCTTCTGTGAGGTCGTGGTCGTGGAGTTACCCGGACGGGCCTGCCCATTCATGCAACAGCCGAAGCTGTTGCGTGGCCCTTACACCGTAAAATTTCTAGGTGCTATAAAAGTTAGATAAGGATGAAGGGCGGGTGTGCCGGTTTTCCACTTATATTGATGAAAATTGGGTTTCTCCGAAATAATAAATTATATAATTAATGAACTCATACGAGACGACGTGAACTAGCAACATTTTTCCGTCTTAATCTCGTGCTATTTGGGTGCCGCGGGACTGGAGGATATTTAAATCCGTATTAAATGATATTTCGTTGCTACAGCAGATCATCTCGCCGGAAGATGACGAAAACGCCGCAGTTAGTCTAAGGCAACCTAGAAGGCTACGAAGGAGGCTTTGAAACCATTTCCCGACGTAGCTCCCGACGACAAATTACAAATGCTATAATTTTCTTATAAAAATTCTTGTACTAAATATTTCATTAGTGAAGAATTATTATCATTCGCCGTGTGGCGCAGTATAATTTCTCAGACTTAACTTTCTCTGCTCATGGTTATCAATTAAAAAATAAACAAGTGAGTATGTAAATAGTGAGAGTCGAGTTTGCTCGGACTCTACGACGAGATCGTATGTTACTAATTATTAGAAAACGTTTAATGCGCTGAAGATTAACGAGCGGTTATTTGCGTAATTAGTGCGTATGCAGCCGCCGCTTGATGTAGGATAAATCAAACTGACGCGTTCGTAACCTGGTCGTTATATTCAGATGGACTTTGAAGTGGAGCTGGTAATAAATAATAATCAACTGCACCACATTAGACTATACACTGCTAATGATGTTGAAGTGATTAAAAATAATCGAGAGAAGCTCTACACTGGTCTGTCATTATTGAGGCTATACCGTACTCTTAGTCTTGACTTCAGAAGTTTTGTAATCATATGAAAGTCATTTTCTCATTAGTTAGGTGACAAAATTTTTACAGAGCTTTCATTTTAGTTTAATTTTAAAGATATTTCTTTTTCAGGGCCGGGCGGAATCACACTCAGCTGAAATCACTAAATGACGAGTGTTATATGAGTCCCTTTGTTCAGATTATGTATTAATTCCATTTTAGTAGGAACTTTATGTTCGGAGGTCCAAGGATATCACATCACAAGAGAGACGGTGGTAGGGCCACGCAGCTGCCTCGGCTGTTGCAAGAATGGGCAGGCCCGTCCGGGTAACTACCACGACCTCACAGAAGACCAGCGTATTTGGAAGTATGACAAATACTTTCGCGTTTCGTTTGGTGAGTGAGGTAGCCGGAGCCCAATTTTCAAAAGGTTGTCAACGACTATCTACTCGGCCAAAAATGCTGCTAGTGTTCTTGGAAACACACAGAGTGAGGTCGATTTTCTTGATAACCTGTGATTTATTAAATTTATATATAATATAGCTTATCACCCGTTTGTAGTGATGTAGACTGCTCTTGGCGAGTACTTATGTGACTTTCTATTATTACTGTTACCTAGAGACAGTATGTATACTTATATTATATTTTGTTCACTAATAGTTGAAGCTTTATAATACCGATTTTATAGTATAAATATTAAAAAAAAGCAGTAAATGGCTTTGATGATTGTAAAAACTATAAAATGCGCAAAATTATCAAGTAAAGTCTCTCTTAATTGTTATGATTTACATGCAATTTTAATAACATATCATTTATTATGTTTTTATTGCGTTATTCATGAATTATATTGTTCTTTAGTAATTTTTAAACATATTTAACCCGAGGCGTTTATTTTCAATTAATTAGATAGAAAAGTATAAATCTGATTTTTTTTTACGTGAAAAATTGCCAAACGAGCAGACGGTTCACCTGATGGTAAGTGAATACCGCCGCCCGTGGACATCTGCTACACCCGAGGGTTACAGATGCGTTCACAACCTTTTGAAAATTGGGCTCCAGCTACCTCACTCACCAGACGAAACGCGAAAGTATTTGTGATACTGCCACTTTACGTTGGTCTTCTGTGAGATCGTGGTACTTACCCGGACGAGCCTGCCCATTCGTGCAACAGCCGAGGCTGCTGCGTGGCCCTACCACTGTAAATTATTAAGTATTTCAGCATTCGGAAATTACGGAAATGGAAGTCTGAATGTAAAGTGAAGTATGATGAATGATTGCTCTTCATGTTAATGAACAGCAATTTGCTATTAGTTCGGCAGCTTGGACAGATTTCACGTTTGACCTTTTTTTAACTTTCGAAGTTATTTAATTGCCATGATTCAAAACAATTCATTACAAAATTTCCAGATACCATTGTGTAAACGTACATATTTAACGCATTTCTATAATATGGAATAAAAACCATCAAAGTATGCTTCTTATTTTTTTCTGTTATAATATTACTTTATTATATATTTTCTATCGTGTTTAAAAGCAAAGTATTTTTAAATTTGTAAATTTATAGGCACGACCACGACTCTTTCTTTGCAACCGGTTCAGTAACCGATGACCTAACCGTTCCCATAAGTGACATCATGGATAAATCTCCCATCACAGAAAAAAATGGGCCTTAAGCCGTAGAATAATTAAAACATATGTTTGCTATATTTTATAGGACATAATACATTACTGGCTGGATATGTCTGGTTGATTTAGAGAAACAAAAGTTTGAATATTTCGCGGTATCTCTCAATCTTTATGGCCCATTGTTGATTTGTAGCCACATTGTTGGAGGAATGAATTACTGGGCTCTCTATAAAGAAACGTTAACATGTGAACGATAGCCACTGGTGTGTTGAAATTTATTACTTCATCCGAGTAAATGCTAACGCCGGTTGTCTCTCGGTGTCACTCCTGCCTGATTAATAGCCGATAATTGTAGGCCTCCACTTTCACGGCTTAAGTCAGGGGTGCTAAACATTTTCGCATCGTTTATACTTATCCAAGTTCATTGTTCATTACTTGTACAGTTTAACAACACCCAACAGAAGTTTGAAATTGCAACACTTGTCATATTTGAAGAAACTGTCATGCTTGATTTGTGATACAGGTGTCCATTGCCTATGCGACGGAATAAAAAGTAATATTTGTATTAAAGTGTCGAAATGTTTAACGGCCCTGTTCAGGCTAAACACTTTATCGTCAGCTATGCCATCAGACCCGTCCCTAATCGCGTGCGCATCTGACGTGGGGCTGAATTAAGCTCTATTAATTTACTGCTATCTCAATATCTCCCGCCTGTTTATGTTTTATTTTTCGTCACGACGTCACTTTGTGCTTAGAAGATGTTACAGGTCATCAGAGAAGGCCTAAGCGTGACGTTGTAATCAAAACGAATTTTAATTTTGTTTTTTTTTTTTTTGTAACAAAGCGCCGCGTGTCAGCGTCCAGTCTCAGCAATTTGCACAGCACGGACGCATTCAACTACGTTCATAAATAGCGTGGCATTACGCACGGCAACATGAGATCGGACGCGATTATTCTCGTAGTAAACATGGAGTATTTATAGTACGGCAGCGCTTGCTAAGAATTTCGCTGCATTAGAGCTTACATTAGTTATGTGTAAGCTCATTGTGGTGCCTTAGTCGCTTTATTGACGATGCAGGTGCTTTCTGTAGCTGGTGGTCGAAGTAATGTGTTATAAGCTATTCAATTCACGTCTCCTTCGGCCAGATAGAAGAGTTCTTCTAAAAGAATATTCAACCTTATTGGCTTTTTCTCCGTAACGTAAAAAGTATTGAAATAAATGCGAGTCTTCTTATCTCTAGTGTAATCATTGCTTCAACCTTTTAAGTTTTTTTAAAAATCTACCGTTTATTTGTTAAAGCAACCTCTTTCCCTGATTACATTATATGCTAAATCATGATAAGCGTTCAGCTTGGTAGCCCTACAGCGGATGGGCAGTACATAGACAGTGAACTGTAAAGTATCTGTAAATTTAATATATCATTAGTGCACGTCCCCTGGGGATTGAATCAGCTATTAAGTTTCTAAGTCCTGCTTTCCAGCTAAAAAAAAAGTACTGTGTAAATGTACTAATATTTATAATTAATGGTAATTGATGACGTCACTATGCCCAACGCTCGCGTTCGGCATAGTGACGTCATCAATTGCTGTGGAAAGAATTTATATGACCGCAGTTTATGTAACGGGGTGGTTGGTATCACGTACACCATTTCTACCAAGTAACGACTTACCGTCAGTCGGTTATCATACTTTATATGGTGGGTACCACTCGAGGTTGCCAAGAAATCGTTGCTCCTATCTCTACCGTTGGAAGTCGGTGATGTGTCACCGTCACAGCCATGAGCAAGTGGGCGGACGTACCAGCGGAAGCGATGAACATCATGGGGAATGGCAGTTGGGTCACGTGACGAAATACGTCCTTACGTACCGTCTGTGCCGAGGAGGGCTGTTCAAAATGGTTTATTATACTAAGGATGTTTTTGTCGGGTATTTCGTTACCTCCAAATTGGGTACGCTTACGGAGTAACAGCATTTTTTATTGATTATGCATTGTCATATGATGTTATACTTATTGCACGTCAGCGTGAAAGATGGCGAACAGTTACAATCGGTATGAGAGTAAAGAAATGACAGTGATCTTTACGTTTAAGCAATCCGGAAAAAACGACAAAAATATCGCAAGAGTCACGGAAAACTGCAAGGAAAAATGCAAGTGGCAAATTATCGTTCGTTTTGGTTCTAGGGCGCAGGTCTTTGTTCAACAGTGGACGTCTCCCGGCTGATGATGAATCCGGAAAAGCTAAACTTCTTCCTGCAAGATAAAAGGAGAAATCATTCATAGAGCAGCGCGTCTTCTAAAGCAATAACATTATATACAAAGATATTACACTGGCGCAACGAAATTGAGGCATTCAAATTACACCAATTGGTGTAAATAGATTGCAATTATATAGACTGTCATCATATGTTTTATATCATCTGTCACATTCACGTATTTCTCATATAAATGTAAAGCGGAACAATTTTTAAACTTCGCGAAGTATCGACATGCGTCATATATACTATTAAACATCATTGCTCTTAAGCACTAGGCGTTACCCTTTAATTTGTGTTGGTGACTATCCATCGCAATTACACATTTAACGAATTCGCGACCTCTTCGGGCCCAGCGCTGGGCGTGGGGATCTTCGGATCCGTCGGCTTCCTGCCGCCACGCTCCGTTCCGCTCGGCGGCGCGTGCGCAATTGCCAAAGTCAGTCAAATACACTTGACTGACGAGTTGATTATTATTAACTTTTTAGGGGCCGTAATTTCCTCTGCAAAGTCCCACTGACTTTGTTCCCGCATGTCACACGAAAACGACAATAGTACGAAAAGAAAATGACATTAAATCTTAAGTTAGCCTTTATAGTTGTTTGATTTATAAATTAATCGGATTTCATGTATTAAATGCTCATTAAGAAAAGAGATGAGATATTGAACTTAAGATAGTATTAGATTCCGTGTTTTTTTTTGTTTCACAGAATATATTTTATCTCGCGACAAATATCCACAAAAACTAAAAAATGTGTTAGTTTTATCGCAATTAAATTCCAATTATTCTGGAGTGCATGATCCTCCTCCTTTTTTGAAGTCGGTTCAAAAGACGATCGCTTGAAGACTGTACAGCTTAGCTCATATAAAACTTAACTTCTTTGTAATCTGGATATAGATAGGGAATATTTAACCAACTCAGGATTGTGCGACGCCGTAATACGCAAGGCCTGTAGGCGTGTGCTTACTAATTAAGGCGTGGGCCACACTGGGCTTATCGATTGATCTCTCGGGAAACGCGTGCAGAGCCGATTGTGGTGCGCGTGTATTTATAGCCCTAATCTGTTGTTGCTTTTTCTCATCTATTGTTGCGCGGTGGGTGCCGCAGGGCTCTCCCACGAATTATCGGTGCTCAGATGACGCCTGATAGGACGGTTGAAAAGAGAGCTCCGAACTAGGAGCGACGGCGAACGGCCTCAGCGAAAGCTCTTGATCGTTTCTATTATACTAGTGGTCGCCCGTTGGTCGAAATTCGGCCGTAATTAGTTATAACATGGTAGTGTGTGTAGTGTTTTTATTCATTGATTTTATGTATTAGAAGAAAAATATTAGCATTTTGCACTCGCTCTCTATGTAAACTATAAGTGTTGGAAATTTCATACTCCTCCGTCCGCGCAATTTTTGTAAAATGGTGTCCAAATTTCTTGCTTCGCGTATTAATATAATAGTGAATATTTACGTGTATGTAATGATTTTACTCACTTAAATCCATGTTCTATTTTTATTTTTTGGCGTTACCACAATTTCTCTTTCCGCTCCAAGTTTACGGGTGGAGAATGCCAATAGACATTAAATCCGCCTTTTGTGACCCTTGAGTGGTACTCGTGATACTCATGATACGATAGAGTGAACGGCTCGTTTTTTAATTCAATATAGTTGAGCAACCCGAATTAAAATCCCGGTGCTGACATCAATGACATTGATGAAAAAATTTTTTTTCCGAAGATACGTGAAGTCTTTCGCAGTCGTCGCTCCGGAAAGAGGAGACCTTTATCCAGCAATGGGACATAAAAAGACATGATCATTTTGTAATCCCAATTAATTTTTGAATTTAAAAAAAATATAATTTTGTAATTTAAACTGTGTGAGCTGGTCTCCACAAGCCGACACTCTTTAGTAAAATAAAATACGTGGTAATGTTACTTCAAGGAGTTCATCGGCTTATTAAGTTAGTCTTTATGCTAATGTAACATTAATCATGAGTTCTTAAGTCGGAAAAAATATTGAGAGCGATTTGTCTTACCACCTTTCAAGATTTTTTTCCAGTAATTAGACGTACATAAAATAAGCTTATTTTGTTATTACTAATGCATTTGAACATTTTATCAATAATCTTTCTTTTTCTTTTAAATCTGATCTTATTTAGATAATGCCGTACTCTCGATCCTCGAAAGTCCATGGCATTTGAAGCATAAACTTGGTAAGAAAAACTAGCTAACTTCATCTCTTCCTCTAGACACTGACACTAAAATGATTAAAATTCTTCATAAATTATAAAGGAAAGACGATATAATTTTCTCGTTGAAATATTCATTGTAAAATATGATTTGAGAACTTTCACTATACTGTAAAGTATGCACAATAGACGGCGCAAAGCTTAGCTAAAAATGGAATAAATTAATTTGATAAATGGACACACATTCTTTTTTTTTTTTAGACAGCGTTCTCTAGTCCCAAACTAAGCAATGCTTGTACTATGGGTACTAGAAAATTGATAGACATACTTAAACATACTTTTCTTTTGTAAATAAATACACATTATACATATACAAACACCCAGACACTAGAAAAACACTATGCTCATCACACAATATTATTCCAGTAGTGGGGATCGAACCCACACCCTCTGGCGCAGAAGGCAGGTACACTACCGACTACGCCATTCGGGTCGTTGAAATTCGAAATTTTGAGATTTTCACGCCGCGGGGTCATCGGCCGCTAAGTTTCTTTGAATAGAGCGTCAGAGTTCGAAAGCAAAAAGATTTATATATCTGACAATCATATTAATGTTAATTTGTACGAGCTTTTAACCCTAAAAATGACAAGTGATGAGACTGTCACCGAGTAGATGAACTACATTGCGAATAATTCGGATAAATATATGAAATCATTAAAGGATTGAACAACCGACGTTTAATATAAACAACAACTCAGATCGAATGCATAAATCGAAGGAAACTTCTGGATGCTGCAATAATACTGTGGTAGTAGTAAGATAACTGAAATACTATCGCTGTACATAATAGCTGGTTCTAATCTCGTTCAGTAAATTTGATAAAAAAAGCAAACCGCGTGCACATGTCCATATGTTATAGAACTATTTAACATAGCGTGCGAAACATTTATGCAAATATAAATGTGTCTACGGCATTCTGCGCGAGTAGCACTCTTGGTATTGGGTTCCGTTTCACAGAATTTCCGATTCATATTACAATATTTTTTTATCCCCAATCCAAGCCAAAGGAATGATGGCAGCTCAGTGCCTGTGTATGTGCTACGAATTAAATTTACTCGAGGAAACTCAGTTCAAATTGGGGTTATTTACTATTGCCAGTGGCGAGGATTATTTAATGATTTGCATGACGCTTATATTTATATATTGTACAAAGTAACATCTTTTCAAAATAAATGTAAACTCCAACGGCTTCAACACATGGTAGACATAAGTTGTTAACCCGGCGTAGTAGCAAGATCATATTATGTCTGAAAAGACTATACACTTGTTACAAATATGCTATAGTTTTTTCTACACTGATTTTATAATCTAAAATCACTTGACTATTACATACCGCCCAGAGTGTTGAAGACAGATGTTAATTTTGACTGAATCTTAATCAACTTAATTATTGCAAATTAAAGTTAAGAAATTGAGCCGCGATAGCTCAGTGAGCCTGTGCTCGTTTTCAATTCAATATTCTCTGGCAACCCGAGTTTAGATCCCGGTGCCGGCACCAATGAAATACCACATAATACCCATCGGCGACGGTAAGGAAACTTTATGAAGTCACATTAATCGATATGTGTACAACGCACATCCATGGTGGGGTCGCGTAGTGGGCTTTGTCCTAATACCCTTTGTGCAGAGAAAGCCTGTGCCCAGCAATGGAACAATTGTAGGCTGTTATTTTTCTAATTTGAATAATGCACATTATTAAAAAAACGGTTTGTCCTGAATGTTTTAGCCAAAGCCAAAAGGACTCTAAATTTTTACAGAACGAGAGGCATATTAATTTTCCATATTTATGTTCAAGTTATGCGCTCAAGCTTGTATACTGTGCTTGTTTGTATTTATCTTAGTTTTGCGATGGACTTAAGTTCGATATGCGTAGGTTCTTTTAATCGAGAACCTGCTTTACTATCACGTAATATTTTTAATATATTTTTTAATTAAAACTTAATTTGATTTAGGTAAATGTTTGCATGTAAACGTTTTTAAAATATAAGGCAAACTTATAATTCATAAAGTTTGCTTAAAGTTGTATTCAATTATTTTTCTTTAAAATATTAGATTTTGGTGGCCAGGGGCTGTATATTTCTAGTAGGTAGTGGTAGTTTTCACCTCCAAAGAAACATTAAAATTAGAACCGATAACGCATGATATTTTGCGATGACCACCCGATAAATCCCACCAGTCTGTCTAGATATTTTTGTAATATGTCCATATCAAGGGTTACGCATGCATGGCCACGGGAGCCAGTTCACCGACCTTGGCCTCCAGATTCTCGAGGTCGACGACCGCACCGGCCTCCAAGGTTTGCTGGAACAAAGGAGCGGATTATTCTAGCTGTACGTATGGTAATTAGGGCCGGCCGCTGGGGTCAGGGCTCCGACGGGCCGCCTGACCTGAACGAGGTGCTTTATTATTGAATCAGCTGTTCGCGGCTTCGAACGCGGCTTATATGAATACGACCTCGCGTTCTTATGTAGTACTGCCAACGAGTAAAACAGTTTCTTATACACAGCAGCCCGAGTCAGCAGTGAGACTATACTTGTACACACTATTCCATCTACATTCGAGTAGTAATAATTTGAAGTAAATATATTTTTTAAAGAAAATACATTGCCCTTACTTTAGGATAACATTATCCTGAGTTATAAGGACGTTTGAAAAAGATTAATTACAAGCGGACAAACACACAGATTCGAAAAAACTATCTGTGGGTCACCCAAACTGTTGTCCCGTGAGGATAGAACACACGGCCCCCGACGCCGAAGCTAATACCTTTGCGTCTGCACCACGGAGTCACCTAGTACTCAGGTAAAATGATGAATTAAAATAAATATTAGTGTTAAAGTAATAAAAATAATAATATTATACATAATGCAGAAGAAAGAATGTAAAACATTATTGCTCCAATTGCGATGAAAAGATAAACAGAAGGAATGTGTGTTTATGAAGTGCAATGCTTAAAAATACACAAATAAATAAAGACGCAGACCACAATGCATATCATTATCATTAGTTGGTTCCTTACATTTTTTAAAAGGCGAAAAGACGAAGATTAGATTAACTTTTTTTTCTATCGAAATTCATATATTCTGTAACGACCACGACATACGGTGAAGTTGACAGTTTCTTAATGCTTTTGTTCTCTATATCTTATGTTGATTCGAAAATTTTCACTCCCTTAGCTCTTTTGCTTCTATCTAAAGGTGCAATGTGTTAATAATTAACTTAGTCTATGAGGCACGTTCACGCTGCGGGCAGCGTTATTTGCCGCCAGTGATGCATGGAGCATCCAAACCTTGAACATCAGAGTCATGCTCGTTAAGAGGTGCGACGGCGCGCACCGTTTCTGGTGCTCCAAGATAATGAAACGGAAATGCGGGATAAAATCTTAATACACATTTCATCTCGTCACATCATTTGATATTATACGATGTACGCATTTAAGTGATTTTAATATGCATAATCTTCATAATGATTATTAGCATTAACTAATGATAAGTTCATTGCAGAATGTGGCCCCGGCCGAAGATAACTAGATATAAAGACATTTAAAACATTTAAACACGACCAGAAGAATACTTATTTAAAATAAATTTTGTTCTTCCCTTGTAAAAGGTACATTATTACATTACAACTTATAAGTACTTGTTACTTTAGCCATGGATTACTGATGATCATCTGTACTTAGATTTTTACTCTATTGCGTCTATAAAAAGAGATCATGCGGCGCGTACCCAGGCATCTGCCTCCACGGCAAATTTAAGAACAATCAAATCAAGAGATGCCCCATTCCCGCTCAAATGAACCGCGTAATGGCCGTTTAACGAGCGCCATTAAAATTGGTTCGGTTCGGATTGGGCACGACGAAAAACTGATAGGGCATAATTACTGCGACGACGAGTTCTGGAAATTAATAGGACTATCGGCCGTACTCACATAGCTCAATTAGCGACTAGCTGTCATATATAGAAGTAATTTGTCTATTTGTAATCCATATCAAAAAATTAGCATATTTCAAGTTATCGAATGATCTAATTTGATATTAGTTGGTGCTAAAAACATTTTTAGTTTCGTAAGGAACTCTAAAAAATATTATCTGTAAATGTGATTGTACAACAATATTATTTGCATTTCAAATCAATTGGATAAACTAAATTTAGATAATCTCAATTCAAACGCCTATAACATAACGGAAACAGTATATCGCAAAATGAATTGAGATAACGAGAAATGCATTGAAGCGATATTGATTTTGCATTTATTAGCTTGCTATTAGAATTTTGGTATTAATTAGCGATATCTTCATTTAAGCAATAGCTTAAAGCACTTTCATTTTCGTCAAAGACATCCGTGTACAAATAATCTAACATTCGCCGTTAAGATCGCTTCCCACAGATGCAGCCTAAGACCGTTGAAAGTTACGCACACCTCGTCGACAAATCCAATTATTGTTCGGTTAGAGAATTACACAGGGCCATGTTTTCCATCGATTGTAATAGTGAATGATTATTGGAATCGTCTCCCCAACGTTATTCGAGCAAGTAAGCGTCGGCGTTTACAAGCGTTTGTTCTGGACGAGCGGGCATTTCTCACACTATGAGTTACGTTTACGTTTTCCGGCCGGAGGGACAATTAAAACGTTTCTCAGTGTGATGCTCTGTTAAGGAATCGAGGACGTGTATTCATTAGCAAATGCAAAGGTTTGATTATAAACGATTATTGTTGACAACACTAAGAGAAGTGCCATTCTATGTGTATGTATGTGTATAAATGAAGCTAAGTACGAAGCATTTCTTTTTGGCTGTCAACAAGAAGTAAACGTGATAGTGGTATCGCAAATTGAATCGTAAGAGTTGTGATTATTTATTCTAAAAGTGAAAATAAGTAATTATACCAGTGTTATTTTTGTTAGCTTCGTACTTAGCTCGATAAAACAAAGTAAAGGAAATATTGTCGTTTGCGAAATGTGTGAAATAAAAAGAAAATATTCATACGTGGTAGACTACGCAGCAGTCGATTGTAACAGCGAAGATTGTTGCGTGACCCTACCATGGTTAGAATCGGTAGCCCTGCCACAGTTAGATCTTGCAACCTTTTCTTATTTTAAAAGCTTCATCATCATCATAATTTCAGCCGGTTTGAGTCCTCTGCTCGACATATGCCTCCCACAGACTGCCACGAAGCACGATCCTGAGCCACCTTAAGATTATACATCTAAAAAGAATCTGTGTATACCCACCAGGGAGGCGGAGCGCTGCTGTTTGCTGAGGTCATGCTGACTCCTCGCACGGTCTTCCCCGGCATCCGACAGCTGCCCGGACTTCCGTGAACTGCCAAAAATAAAACAAAGAAATTTCAGCAAGTTTAAATAAACAGAACGACGAATTGAATAATTTATATAAAAATGTTCTTCATAAAATGAGATGCTTATTGGGGGCCTTTATCATACACAGACTGTGCCATACCAATTTTTCGTATATATAACGTGGATTATTATTTGCTATTACTCCAAATAAAATAGTAGCTAGATGCAGTTTTTGACGCAATAAGATTTTCAGCCGACTTGCATTGTTAAATAAAAAACCGGCCAGGCGAGTCGGACTCGCACGACGATTTCCGTGCAATCACGTCTGTTGTATGAGAGCCCCACTTAACATTTTTTTTATTCTGCTTTTTAGTATTTGTTGTTATAGCGGCAACAGAAATACATCATCTGTGAATTACAACTGTCTTACTATCACGGTTCATGAGATACAGTCTGGTGCGAGACGGACAGACAGACAGACAAACAGCAAAGTCTTAGTAATGGGTCGTCTTACCCTTGGGGTACGGAGCCCCAAAAATGGTGTAACATACGTTCGAGGTGGTATGTGAAAGCAGAACCTTGAATGAAAAGTTGAAAAGTACACTGATTAAAATTAGCACGGTGATTGAACTTGCATTACATCCCCATCGTTTGTTTTTTCAAAATAAACATAGCCACATAACTTAGATAACGCACATATGAAAGTTAAAAGTAGAAAAATTTACATTTAAAAAGATCATGAAATTATAAATCATGACAAAATGCCTGGCCCGCCGTAAGCCGTGACCATTTTTCACGGCTTACGGCGGGCCAGCTGCCTTCTTTTAGAAATAAAACACATTAAAAATGTAGGTCGATCAGATCTCTAACATCTAATTAAAACAAACACATATTGGAATCGAGATTAACGCGTGTGTCTCAGTCTAATTAGCGCGATGTCACGGTCTTCACAAGAGGGTCAGCTCCGTATAACATGACTGGGTTCGGAGTACACGTAAACACGTAAGAAACATGAAAAATTCATCATTTTTATGTGAGTGACTCCGTGCTGCAGATGCAAAAGTATTAGCTTCGGCGTCCGGGGCCCTGGGTTCGATCCCCACACGGGACAACTGTTTGGGTGACCCACAGACAGTTGTTTCGCATCTGGGTGTTTGTCCACGTGAAAATTATGTTTGTAAAAAGTCATTGCAACACATTTTAAAAAGAAAAAAGTTCATTCCGGAGGCTTCATTTCATAATTTGGACGGAATAGTGTTCAGAATTTAAAGTTATTAACATGCAACATTTCATTGTTTAATTACTTGAGCACGATTTGGCTGCGGTTAAACATTCGGGACTCTAATCGGTCAGTTATGTCAAGGCAGTTGCTAAAGAGTTCTCTAGAAGTAATCTTTGAAAAATAGGCTGCGGCTGCCGATATGGAATGCCTCATTGTCAGCAACAAAGATATCTGATGCGCTGGTAACACACGCCGCATGAAAAAGTTTCACTACTATAACTGTTATAAAATTATGCTACGATTATACGTCTTTACATTAATTACCATTAATATGTACCTGCCGTCATTTAAATATACATATATTGTTAATGACAAAACCTAATTTAAAAGTTAAATTTAAATTTTGTTGATTATGTCCGTCGCTTAGAAGTAGGGAGAAGACAATGATGCATCGAGTTAACTTAGTTTCCGCTTTTCACCGAGCTCGTTTAATGTCGAATGTGACAATAAGTGAGCCGTTGAGATAATTTACAAATTGAACTTTGCAGGTAGGATATTAAAAGCGTAGAAACTTATTCGGATTCGAAACCTTGAGCTGAGTAATAGCTAGACATTCCAGCACATTATCTTCTACTATTCATCATATCTCCCCTAATCAAGAGGCAACCTTATAACCGAAGCAAATCAAGCTTATGCGTGGGTAAAAATAGATACCTACTGCTTCCTCGCAACTTATCTTCTGCGAATCGCCACCAGTTTTCTTATGTCACCGCTTTATTACATAGTAAATAATGCCCGACTACCATCCCATTTGATGTTAAGTGATAGTTGCAATCGTAGGTGGTATTTATCCGTATAAATGTAGTACTAAAACTTGCCACCGACCAGACACGGCGTGGGCAGGCTGCCATTCTGATGTTTATAGACGCCCGAAGCCTCTAATTCAATAGCTACTTGGCTTGCGAGATTAAAGACCCATAAAGCCAAAGCTACCGTTGATAAATCCGCTTTAAACGTCGTAAATGGTCAAGTATGATCGTTAAATCTCATTCACACTTAAATCACATTTTAGGTATCGAAATAACAGTGATTGTGATATACGATCCAATAAGTAATTCACCAAATGTGTTCCAAATTATTAGGATGGAAAATTTATACAAAATCTGTTTCTTCCATACAAGTTGAGTGCATGTTTTTATGTACCTATTATAATTTTTATTTGACGTCTATTGCATTAGATATTAGCTATTTATCTGATATTAAAACAGCGACAATTATGTAAAGCAGTATGAATATATTAGTTTTTTTAAATCGATCAATAAAAATGAGATTGTGACGTTTCGTTGTAAGCATTATAAGTTTTAATTTTTTAAAAGTTTTTTAAGTTTAAATTTTTTAAGAATGCATATTCTCAATAGCAAAGGCTGCTTTTCAAAATCCCACCTTACTTACAAGATGAAATGTACTTATTGTATATGTAGTATAAACTACAAATTAAGTTGTATTCATTACTTTAGGTCGGTCCTTAGTAACGCCTTTCGAGTGCAAAACCGTTGAAGCCAAACCTGCTGGACGACGCTGTCACAGTAAACTGTCAAAAGTTAACGGTGAAACATTTAAAAACTAAAACTTTGTCGCTGTATTTATTTGCCATGCACAGGTTAAATTTCTGTCTTTAACTCATGTAGACAACTTATTTTTTGCGCGGTGATTTATAGACTGTCATGCGGTTGGCCAATGTATCACAGGCGTTGTCTATCGTTAGACAACACACTACATTGTTGCAACCCTACGAAACACTGAGAACTACAAGCCCGAAATCGTACTTATTTTCTCACGTGGCCTACATTGTCTCATTTTAAAAAAGGTTGTCGTTTCGTCAACTGTTGTTGGGCATAATTCGTGGGTCCGATCAGACACGGGATAAAAATTTGTACGTTCCACAAATATTTTATCTGAATCTGGATGTGTTATAAGTCCGTGATATTCATGTTTATGAAATCTCTTGAGAATTTTTTTTTTATTTAAAGAGAAATGGTAATCGCGCATAAATGCAGGATATCAGCGGGTGTGGGTTCGATCCCCCACTACTGGAAAAATATTGTTTGATGAACATATGCTTACCAGTTATTTAGTACAAGCGTTACCAGTTACTTAGTTTGGGACTAGAGAACGTTGTGTAAAATTGTGTCCTAAAATGTTTATTTATTATAGTTAGGAATGCTTAGAACGTATTCAGTCGTCATTTGTTAAGATATGGAGATAAATTTATTCGAAGCGGCTGTGGTCTGACATCTGGTTACGCCAACAATATGAGTTTGTGGCTTCGAAGCTAAGTGGCGTGAACCAACGAGGTTCCTTTTGCGATTTCTCACGTGCTGCAATGTTGCATTGCTTAGAGTGAGAGGACGAATTCACTAACCGTTGTCATTTGGGACCTTCGAACTATAATAAGTAGAAATAAATATTGAAGTAGACATTTCTGTCCGCTAGGGTTTAATAGGATTAGATGTTTAAAACTTAATGGATATAACAGAATTTAAAAGACAGAACTGCAGCTACAATTATATGAATACTACAATCACAAAGTAATTATATGAATTCTCAGCTCATTTTATGAGCGAAATTAGAAAGAAGATATTACGTGCAATATATTGGGGTTACTAAAGGGTATAAGATATAGTCACCTGGTGAGCTTGCGGTGCGCGCGACGTCCCCCGCTGATCATGGACAGCGTGCTCATCACCGCCGACATGGCTGCGGTGGCCAGCGCTCATGGGACCTGCTGGTGAACAATAATAACAATAACAATCTGCACATATTGTCACGCTAATATGAGGGTTGGAATAAACAGCATGTACCCTCATAGTCAAATTTCGCGAATATCTACAGCTAATATTGTTACGAGCTGTAGTGTATATGAAGGTGGAGGGTAGTAGTGCCCTAGTCATCACTAGTGCAGCTCTGATTAGATAGTTGTGAAGACGTGTGCGGAAGCCAGCGAGCCGATAGTTATTTATAGTGACAAATTAGTCGAAGTGTTATCTATCGGTTATCAATTACACGATTCATAATATCTGCAGCCAATATGTTGTTACGAGCTATGGTTTTGGGATTGGAGTGAAACGCCGGTTATTCTATGCTGTATGTACGGGTTACCTCGTTAGAAACTCATCAGATATTCTCGAATACCTTACCTACTTACTGCTAATTTATTTTGTGTAATAACAATGCGAATCAAGATGCGACGAGGTCTTCGGATGGTGGCCCTTTACGTAAAAGTAAAAATATAAGATGAATAACAAGTAAAAGGAAACAAAGGTAGAACTATAAGCGGACTAAGTCGGAACAGTCAGACTGGCAGTAGATGATGGGAGTAATAGGAAGAGAACAGATGAAGAAGAAATGTGCATGGATTGCGAATAATGAAAATTCACACATATGGAAATACATTTATACACATAGAACTTGTATAAAATAAAAGATCTGTCCGTTCAGTTGTTTAAAATATTAGCGGTGTCCGTTACAGGGAAATTCGATATTCGTAACGTAATTAAGAGCAACCTTCACGGTGACAATACAAGGAATTTGTCAATAGAACGGCGTCCGTGTCAAATAAAATTCGTTTTGAGATCTCATAACCAACCGTCGTGCTGTGTCAGGTAGCTGCGAAACATTTTGCAAGTCGAATGCCCAAAGCGGTATCGGATTACGAGCAATTCGGCAAAAACATCTCTCAATCAAATTCGTCGTTTAATCAAAGATTAGATGGGTGCAAGTGTTATACAATGTTATCGCATGAACTTTTATGGAACCGTTTAATCGAACTAGCTTATTATTATTCAGGATTCTTTTAAATTGGGGTTTTCTTCCGCTATTTTATCCTATAAAGGTATTTCGGTCGAAACGACGTTAACGACGTTAATCACTTTCCGAGAGTTCAATTGATTCCACGCTGTTAGCCCAGAAATTTCCATTTGTTTATTGATTTATCACTACATAATATATATAAAAAACCGTCCTGATGTTTGTCTGTCCCCATGTATGCTTAGATCTTTAAAACTACGGAACGGATTTTGATGCGGTTTTCTTTACTAGATAGAGTGATTCAAGAGGAAGATATATATGTATAATACATTGCACCCGTGCAAAGCCGGGGCGGGTCGTTAGTCTTAAATAAATAATGCGTTAATTTGTTCATAGGACCACGCGTCAGCTTTAGCAGTTGCCCGAACAGGGAGATTCATGCATGCAAATAAGCTTCAAAAAGAACTCGGTGAAGAGTGAGTATTACAATTACGCATTTCGTCTGGTAAGTCAAATAACGGGGACTATGCACGGCCATTCTTACAACAGCACGAACGGAAACGTGGTAAAATTCGTATCTGTTAGCAAACAATCTACTTTCTTTTCTTTTTTTTCTTTCTTTTTTTTTATTTTTTTTTATGTTTTTTTTCTTTTCATTTCAATTGCATTTCCATAGACATTGTCCGAATATATAAACTGGCTTCCTCATAACAAACCTTCAATTTATAGAGACACTGCTTGTGCGTACTATCGATCTTATCGTCATATAAAGAAATGAAATGTGTAGGGTTGGGCGCATGATTTTCATTTCTATAACTATGTGTTTATTTTAAATTGTAAATTTTTGTACATAAATTAACAAAAACTCGGCGCTGCGGGATTCGAACCCGCATCTCGTTTCGCGCCCAGGCTAGCTGCATGCAACTCGCTAATGAAAGTTTACTTTTATTAACCTTTTTTATACATTTATTGTACATGCTGACATAAATAGAAAATAAGAAAATTGTAGTAGAATAAGGTATTGTTTATTGTTGTAGTATTAATTAATATTGCATGTCGTTGTTATTATGGGGGGGATCACTTCTTCAAATGTGAGGTGTACCCTTTCAAGAAATAAAGAGAAAAAAAAGTACAGTAAAGTAACATCCTATACATGTCCCGGACTGTATAAGGGAATAGTCCACCACACGGCCCCACTGCGGATTGGCGGACTTCACATATCTTCGAAATATTTTTTTTTTGTTATTATTGTTTAATTTGCGCGTTTCCTCACGATGTTTTCCTTCACCGCTGAGCACGTGATAAGTCAGCACTTAAGATTGATAATTTCATTGGTGCCGGGGACCGGGGATCGAACTCAGCTTGCTCGATTATATTGAATTAAAGGCGAGCGCCCGGACACTGAGCTATCACGGCTCCAATAAAGAGAAATTCTAAAGTTTTTACGTTACAATCAGACTTAGCAGCTAAATATTTTCGAACAGTTCTCAATCCCATAACTTTGTTGTTTTGTAAAAAATTGTCTTCGTTATAGAACTTTGAGAATGTATGGCCTAACATTGAATAAGGTAAAAAGGCGTGAGAGTATAATGGAGGCGGCAAAAATGCATTCCTAAAGCAAAAAGCTCGTTAGTTGCGAGTGTTAATTAACGATTAGAGTAGCAACAGTTAAAGTTGACAAAGGAATTTTTCTATGGTTTAGACATTGTACTATTTGGGGTAAATATTGCAAAAGGAAGTATTATTACAGCACAGACATGCAGCTACTTTGAATATTGTCAATAAAATTAACTAGTAGTGGGTTTATTATAAAATCGCGAGATGTATAGACATCTACCGATTTTATCATAAATTATTCTTATTCTATAATAAGAGTATAATAAAATCGGAAGAAATATTGGTCTTGATGAAGGTCTTTATTTTTAAATTCGTTTCTTAAGAACCCAATCTGATTAATTATGTTTTGATTCGACATTTGGAAAAAAGCAATTCTCGCTTCGTAATTCCTTGGTAGGTGTCGACACTGGGCCAACCGATGTCGGCAACCGGACACCGCTCGGGTGCCAGTGTTTTGTCCGCGTATCGCTTTTTTTAGATTTCCACGCTTTTGTGACATCGACACTGTAATTCGAGATTCGATTGTTGCCAATTTAATTAGCCCGCTGACCCGAGACCTTGCCGCTACGAGCGTCTCTGAGTAATGCTGAATAAAAAGTTTGTTATATAGATTTGTACACTGCGTCGTTTTATCAACGAACGATTAGTTGAGGTCTTTTCTACAATGGTTGAGTCACGCAGCAACTTCTGCTCTTGCATGATTAGGTTAGTGCCATGGTCTCTTACAAGGTCGCCATAAATTACACGTACCTACCTATATTTTAGTCCTACAACAGGTTACTAACTCTTCTGTAGAAAGTATTTTCAGACTTAGCGAGTATGTCAAATAATACCTGTTGCCCATAGACGTCGAACGAGAAAATGAGTTACCACCTTTTAAAAAGGTGGAAGTGTTTACCTCACTCATCAGAACAAACACAGACCTGTAGAAAAGTATATATTATGTTAACTAGTAGAGTATATTTCCTTCGATTGTATAATTCATCCTTATGATTGTATAATTAAATGAAATATTCAGTTCTTACGAGTACTTCATGTTAAATTATTTAATTTCCAGTAGAAGTTCTTTTTTTTTCATTTTAACAATGGAAGAGAATATTTTCGCCGATGCATGGAGAATTCATCTTACGTGCAGAGAAAATAGCTTTAGGAAAATTTATATCCCTTAAAATTTACGGAGGAAGTTTAATTATATTTTTGTCCCCTTAATTAAATGATTACATAAAAATTATTTAATTTTTTGTTTTAGGAAGTTCAAGTATTTTAATAATTTTCCGCACAATGAATGGCATCATATGTAATCATCCAATAGGTGAAAGACAAAAAAATATTTGTTGTTAAAAATAAAAACACAGTTTTTTTTCTGTGTTTTTTTCATTCCTTTCAATTGCATTAAACTGTGAAAGCAGGAAATCATATTTCACCTATCTCTTCTAAAACAAGTCGTTTCAGTTAAAAGAGTTAAATGAGTGGATTTTTTAGTCATTTCAACTTTCAGTTGAATAAATCCCCCATTAACTTTAATTTCAGTTAGCGTGACATCGGACCATTATGCTCGTAAATAATACGTGCAATTACAGAATATTCGTCGGCCGGGTATCTTAACGGTTCACGGACAAAATGGCCGGCGTCATTGAGTCTATAGTGATGCCCCGCGGCGCCGCGCGAAACCTCTCCCGAAGCCTGTTATTATCTCGCGAACATAATGCCAAGGCACTGTCGACCGACGATCCTATTGATGTTCCACCTGAGCAATACTCAGCTCTTATACCGTTCGAAATGCTCATAATAATCCCATTGCAATTATTTCCGCGATGTTAAAGTACAGCTTAGGGTTATTATAACTTAGTATACTCGCGAGTTATTTCAGCCGATTAAATAGATGTCTGAACATGTTCGCTCATCCTGGTTTTATCATTTATGTGTTAGACAAGTCGAGGTTGGAGTAATTCAAATATTAAATAATGCTACCTCATTAAATTATATAACACCAGCGAGTTCAATAACTAATAAACGTGTGAACGTTTTAACACTCTACACTTTTGAAATTTCATCTTCGGTGCAGAGCACTTAATAAAAAAGTACCTGGAGGACCTGGAGGTTTGTTTTTTTTTTTTTGGTAAATTGTATATTTTGGAAATTACATTTAGATACAAATTACTAAGTAATGAAATATGCACAATATTTTTCGATCTTACCGGCGTAATTAAAAGAAAATATGAACTGGTGTTATTCACAAAAGAAAGAACTTTAAAAAAAAGAACAAAATCATCTGGATGGAAAAATAAAGAAAGCAATGATCTGGAATCGAAAAAAAAGTAAAAAAAATAA